GTCCGGGCTTTCCGTGGTCACACCCTGCAAAGCGTCCCGAGAAGCCGCGGGTGAGGTGGCCCTTCCTTCTTCAAGCATCGCAGTCCCGTCATAGTCCCATGATGTCCCCAGCCGATCCGTGTCCACCTTCCCGTGTGTCCACTTCTAATTTTTTTTGTGTGTGGGAAAGGTTGACGCCGAACCTTCCGTGCTGGCCAGCCTCGAACATCCCGAGGGGCTTTAAAAACAGCGCCTGATGCACCCCTGGACCTTCGCCTTCCTCACTGTGACCTGCTGCAGCGCAGTCACAGCACCTGGGTGGGCTGAGCCTCAGTGAGGTGCAGGCGGCGCCTGACTTGCTGAGGGGCGCAGAGCAGCGTAGCCCGAGGCGCAGACGCCCTGCAGCTCGCTCTGTGTCAGGGGACTTGGGTGAGACGCAGCAGGGTGGAGGGGAGGTTCCAGCTGAACCTGCCGGGCTCGGAGCGAGAACTCTGCTGACACCTGGCTCACTCCTAGGCTGCTCTTCCGCGGGGTCTCCCACGCAGAAAATAAGAAGCTACAGAATAATTGAATGAGTAAGTGTGTTCTCCCCTCGGAGGCCAAGGAGACTCATTGTCTATGTATTTCTGCCTTTTTTTTTTCCTCAAACGGTCAAAGGATTTTGTTAATAAGGTTTTTGAAAGGATTTTTTTAAAAGATTTATTGATGCATACAAGGACTGGGGTACAGGCTGGGGGCGGGGGGATGCACCAGAGACAGAGCGGGGAGCAAGCAGGCAGACTGACTGACACACACTGCTGAGGGGAGCAGCGGGGAGTCCGGAGAGGTCTGCCTCGCCATGTGGGTATCTCCCTGGCTGGGGAGGGAACTCGTGCTGCAGAGGCCGCGGGCAGCATCCCCGGGCTGTGCTCAACCCCTGCGCCACCAGGAGGCCCCGGTCAAAGGATTTTAGATTTAGGTTCTGGGGTTAAACTCTCATAACCAACACCACCGCCTCCCTTCTACCCCCCCTCCCCGCACCCCGCTTTAAAGGAGGGAGATTTTCAGTAAGTGAAGCCTCTGGTCAGGTCACCCTGACCGCCCAGACGAGCAGCTCTCCCGCCAGGGCCGGGCGGTTGGGAGGGGGCGAGTGACTGTGCAGAATGGAATCTGCAGTTTGTCTCCAAGTTTCTGCCTTTTAGGCTCTGCCAGTTTGGGACCAAGCCTGTGAGAGCGGAGCCCAGAGAGCACCTAATAAGGCACAGCCCTCCGGGCCGTGGCCAGCGCTGGAGCTGGGGAGGGGGACTAGCCAGGCCTGGGAGGGGCCCTGGTGCCCCGGGAGCGGCCCCCGGGCTCCCGGCCTCCCAGGCTCCTTCCTGCCCTTGCTTTGGCCTCCAGCTCTGCTCGCCCTGGCGGCGGGGCGGGGCTGGGCTGTGGCCGCTGTGGGCCTGGGGAGCAGCCGGAAGCCTGTCAGCCCAGGGGAGCCAGGCTCGGCCAGCCCCTGCTCGGATAGGTCTTGAGGGGCCAGGCGGGAGCCGGAGCCCCTGCAGCAAGTCTCTGCCTGAGGGGAGGGGAGGGGTAGAGGCAGGGACGGGGCCTGGGGCTCTGGAAACGCCTTCCTGTCTGGCCAGAGGGCCACACCGCTCCAAGCATCTCTCACCCCCGGGGCCCCTGCACGAGAGGTGGGCGGCACTCGAGCAGGCGAGCGTGGCCCTGGGGAGCCGCCGCACCGCTGGATGACGCTGGGTGCACCCCAAAAGTGTACAGACATGATTGAAACTCTCTCGAGGCCCCTGCTGAGCAGTCTGGGTGGGGTGGTCCCCCTGCTCTGTGTTCTGCGCTTCCTCCCAGGACCAGCGGCGCCTGCGGGAGCCCGTCCCGTCGCGGTGTCCCTGGGAGTTTCCCGCCCGCGGATGGCAGCACCCTGGGAGCAGCACCTGGGACCCGCGGGCTGAGCACATCACGGGACCAGGCCTGGGGGGGGCACTTATTCACGGGGTACCCCCCAGTGACGGGCATCAGTTGGTGGGGTTCGTGGCGGCCAGAAGCACCTGTGCGCCTTCGCAGGGGAGACCGGCGTGCCCCCCCGGGGCTCTTCATCCTCGGCTCCTCGGAATCCCTGGAATCCTTTTCGGCATCTTAGATCCAGGATCCCCAGACCAAGCAAATCAGACCTGAGGGGTGATCCCCATTACACAGGGCGTAACGCGCGTGCTGGGGAGCTGTGCTCCAGGACCCCGGGCGAAGGACACCCCCTCCGTGAGGCTGTGGAGACTCCGGAGGGATGACGGGTCCGCGAGGTCACAGGAGGGGCCCCGGCCAGACGCAGGGCGGCCTGACAGCAGGAGGGGAGCCCCGCGGGCAGAGAGAAGGCGCTGTCTGGCCCGCAGAGGCCTCAGCAGACACCCCCGAACCCCTTCCCGCCCGCAGCTCTGAGGAGCGCCCCTCTGGGGGCACAAGGGATCCCGTCCTGGCGGCCCGAGCGCTGGGCACCAGCCCGCGTCTCTCTCCAGACAGCCCCGCGCGGGGCTCCCGTGGCCGCTCCGGCCGGGGGCAGCGTCCTTCGCGCGGGCAGCCGCCCTGGACCAGGGCTCGCGGGGCGCGGCCAGCCGGGGAGCGAGCGCCTCGTCCACGCGGGTTCCTCGTCCCCACCCGACGCGGCCTCCGCTCGGCTCCCTGGGCCTCTCTCTCCAGCGCCCTCTCAGTCGCAGCCCGGCCTTCCATCCCGCAGCGGCGTTTTGCTGCTCTTGGAGAGGCTGTTTTTAAACCTCATTTTCCAAGTGGGGGCTTTGCTGGCCCCAGACATGCGAGCAGCGCGTGGCCGTGCAGCTGCTGCTCGGTGCGCGCGTGGCCCCGTGGCGGCCGTAGAAGCCTCGAGACGGTCGTGCCCGCACGGGGGTCATTTACTTTCCCTTCCAACCGCTCGTCTTTCGATTCTGCTCCTCGACTGGCTGCGCCGGCTCCAGCTGCCGCGGCCAGGGGTGCCGCTTCGCCCCGGCGTTGGGAAACAGAAGGTGGCTTTCCCCATGGCCCGCGTGGGAGCTGTGCGTGTTTCGTGGGTGCCCTTCACCCGGCGAAGGACGCGGCCCTCACGTTGCCAGCGCGTTGCAGCCAATAGTCACAAAGCCCCGGCCGGCTCTGTGCCATGCCCTAGGGAGCGTCTAGAAGCTTCCTAGCTCTGCAACGTGAGGCGAGCTCCTGAGCCGGGGAGGGAAACTTACTCCCCGCGGGGCCTGCCCCACGTCCGGGGCGGCGGTTACATGTGGCGGGAAAGCACCGCCTGGTGAGTGAAGCCTGGCGCAGCGGAGCCCGGCCGGCTGCCCACGGGAGCCACCCGGCGGGCTGAGCCCTCCTGACCGACTGGGCACGTCACGGCGCTGGGCTTTCAGAGGGACACTGCGCAGCGCGCCGGGGCGCAGCCGGGGGCTCGGGGCCGGCCGCTTGGACTCCCGAGTCAGTCACACCAAGTCAGACCCGCAGACGGGGGCTCTTTGGGACGAGCCGCCATGGTTCTTGCTTGAGCCGGTTGGGGTGACCTCGCCGTGCCTCGGTTTCCTCACCTAGAAGGTGGGGACGTCAGGCCATTCACCCACGTAACCCCCACGACAGGCGACGGCTCGGCCGGGACCCTCAGGAATACCCAGGAGACTCTCCTGCCGCTGGAGACTCCGACAGGGAGGCCGCCTCCTCCCACCCTCCTGCCCGCCGGCCCGAGGGCTGCACCTGCCGCCTCCCGCCCGGTGCACCGCGTGGGTGTTGGCGCGAAGGCCCCGAGCGCCGTCCCGTGTCCTCCCCAGGACTCTCTGAGCTACAGCAGCTCTTCCTTGCCGGCCTCACTCGATTCTGCTTTTCAGAGCCTCCTGCATTCTGCTCTTCACCCGCCTGGCTTCCGCTCCAGGCCCCCGGGACGCCCGGGACGCGCGTGCCTTCGCCAGGACTTGCTGGCGTCAGCGCGGGGAGGACGGGCCACTCCCTCACCTTTAGAAAGTGCTGGTGTTGCCTTGCAGTGTTTCCCTTAATCTGCACGGTGCGTGTGTGTGTGCGCGCGCGCGTGTGTGTGTACGTGCACACGCAGATTGTACGCGTGTATACAAACTTCTCCATGCATGGGCGAGGTTAAGGGTCAAGTAGTGGAGAAAGTAAAAAAGCTGAAACAAAGAAAATAGAATCTGTTCCTTCGTATCCCTGTGTCCCAAAGGCACCCCCCAACCTGAAGGAGCCTTCAAGGTTCCAGAGGTCGGGGGGACACGCCCTCCCCACATCCACACAGGCGGGTCTGCCGGCGCCTGCGGACGCCCTTCCTCGCGTTACACCCGAATCTCCCCGGCGAGCACGAACTCGCCTGCCTCGCCCTGGCATGGTGCGGGGCCCACAGTGACGTAACAGGCTGATTTCCGTCCCACTCGGCAGCTGCGCGGCCGGCGGCCTTCAGGCAGGCGCACGAGGGACGACGCACAGCACGTGCCTCAGCCGTCCCCAAAGGCCTCATGTAGGTTTTTTCTTTTTTCATTAAAAATGATTTTCTACCTTTGAAATTTCCCAGAAAGTAGGTCTTGGCTTCCTGCCGCTCGCGCTGAACTGCAGGCCAGAGCTGGACAGCTGCTACGGGGAGACCTAGACTGGAGGGCCCCGCTGCACCCCCTTCTGCATGCGCCTCACTGGCGAAGCCCTGGGAAAGCAGCCCCCGAAGCGGGCGGCCCAGGCCCTGGACACTGTCCCAGGCCGCCCCGGGGCCTCCAGCCTGGCCTCGAGGGGGCGGGAGCACTGGGAAGGCCAGGCAGGCTGCGGAGCGTGGGCGGCTGACGGAGGGGAGACGTGCCCACGGACTGGCCCCACGCTGTGCCCACGGACTGGCCCCACGCTGTGCCCACGGACTGGCCCCACGCTGTGCGCAGCAGGCCAAGGAGAAAGTGGCCCCGGCCACTTGGCCCAGGCAGGCCCTGAGGGCGGGTCGGGGCAGGCAGGCTCCTCAGGCCCAGGCGGCACCGTGGCAGTGGCCCCACCACTCGGGCCCGCTCGGCCACCACAGGCGAGGACACGGCTCTTCCCTGCGTAACCTTGCGTTTGAATTTATTCTGGAAACGTGGATTCTGCACCAATTCCCGAGGCTTCAGAAACCCCACGCCAGCCACCAGCACCCAACTCAGACACTTTTTTTCCGGTTTCCTGAAAGTCTTGAAGTTATCGTGAAAAATGTTAGAAAAGAACTATGGAACTGAGTAGAAAAAGGCTACAGGCCCCCCCCAGACACACCCCGCAGCTGCCTCGGAGGCCGTCCTCGCGTCTCTGCGGGCCGCGACTCACTGTCCCGTGGGGCCCTTGGCTGGGGGCCCTGCTGTGCCCACCAGGGGCAGTTTCCTTCCGTCCCCAGATACCACTTTCCAGAGATGCTCAAATTGCTGCGACAACCACGCCACCAAGTCGGAAAAGGCGTGCGCGGGTCAAGAGCCAGCAGCGCCTGCGTTCTGGGAAGTGATCTTGCCAGTGACCTCCAGAACCCTGAGGATTCAAAGGGGTCGGGTCAGAGGTGCTGCTGCAGGCGGAGGCCTCCTGGGAGTGAGGAGGAGCGGCCGTCCGAGGAGGGAGGCTTCTGATACAGAATGATCCGGAGGGCAGGCCCGGCTGTGCTCGCGGTCCCGTCCGGCCTGGGCTAGACCCTGCAGAGCTTCAGCGGGAAGTTCTCCGTGATGAGGTGGTCGGCGTGGAGCAGCACGACGACGTTCACCTCGAATTCTGAGGGGAGAAAGCACAGGCTCGCGTCAGGCGCTGTCTCCTTCAAGGGCTCAGCGTCACCGCCCCGGCGCACTCTGACGAGGTCGCCACCATCCCCGCGTGGCCGAACAGACTGGGGACAGCTCACTGCCGTCCCCTCGAGCAGGCGCAGTAGCATCTCGATGGCTCGCGGGGGTGACTGAAGGCCCGAGGCTCCGGGCTGCGCCTGGCCTGTGTGTCCCGGCAGGGCGCCCTGTGTGGACAAGGGCTGAGCAGCGCTTACCTACTTTGAAGTTGGTGGTCTCCAGCGTGGGGCAGGTGAACAGCCGGGGGAAAACCATGTATATGGGGATGGAGAGGCTCCGACACACATCCCCATCGGCGATCTGAATGTTCTGGATCTCTGTGGCATCGCGAGCGTACCCCTCCGCGCACCCTGGGGAAGGGAGAAGGCACCACAGGGTCAGAGAGAGTCCAGAGGACCCATCAACAGACATTCTTTGGGCTGGGGAGAACCTGCACCCCCACAGCACTGCCCCCTCACTGCCCAGGCCTCCCCGCCTCCCCACCTCCCTGCCGTGTGCACCCGAGGGCAGCAGGGCCTGGCTCAGGCGGCCCGCGTGGGTGGGGGCCTCACCACAGGTCTCCACGCGGACCAGCTGCAGCTCTATACTCCGGATGGCGGCCTCCGAGCTCTCTACCACCAGCTCCCCGGTCAGGGGCTGCGTGATCACACAGTTGGTCGAGTTGAGATGTCCTCGGATGAGAAACTTGGGGAGCAAGGCTCTCTAAAACCAAACAGAGACGCAGACATCAAGACGGGAGATGCCTGGAGAAATGACTCGATCGTCCGTTTGGTACAAGTGAAAACTGAAAACAAAATTCAGTCATTTTCATAAAAGCCAAGGAACTTATTTCACAAAGTCTCTGAGTCGAGCTGGCCCCTCGCGCACAGCTCACCTCCGCTGGGACTGCGGCACTGACAGGACAGCCTGGGCCCAGCACTGCCGGGCAGGGCTGCCTCTGCCTGGCGCCCCAACAGGCAGACATCTCTGGCAACATCTTGATTTAAGAGAGAATTCTAAAAGTAATTAAAAGCAAAGGAAGCGATTTGTTCAGAAAAATAAAAAGCAGTGGCCGTCGACACCGAGACTCGGTGAGGCCCCTTTCCAGTCATCGATAAGAAACGCTTCCCTGTCCAGCGGGAGACGCTGAGTACGCATCCGCCCTGGCGCTGGCCCGGCCAAGTCGCAGCAGCACGGCGAGCCCTGCGCTGGAAGAGCGGCGGCGTGGCGCGGGGAAGCGGCCTACGCATCAGAGGTGAGAGCCAGCCCTGCACCTGAGGAGCAGGCCGCACAGCCGCCCTCCGGGGCCTGCCCACCCAGGAGACCCCAAAGCCGGGCCACGTCCCACGTCATTGATGGCCAGTGTCGGAGCTGCTAGACCTGGGAGACAAGCCGCCCTCAGACCCGGCGAGAGAGCCCACGGGCCCCGGTCAGAGTGGCCCGGTTCTCACTCCGGCTAAGGGGAGACAGTCGGATGAGCAAGACTGAACCTACTAGGTCTGCATGTGGAACTACTGCCTGGCAGCCAAGCGTCAATAAACACTTGAGGAAACAAAAGCAAGAGGCACACACGCCACGCACAGAAGCAACCCTTAAGAAAAAGGCCGCATCGGTGCCCCGGGAGAAGCGAGGGCACCTGTGAATACGAACGGCGCGTCGAAATGGATCACGCTCTCGAGGTGAACGTTTCCACCCACGGGCCAGAACTAACTGAAGGGCCGTCAGTGAGCCCCGAGACTGGGCTGAGGGCCCAGCTGAGAAGGGACGCAGGAGAGGCTCATGGAGCCGGAGGAGCTGGGGTCTTCAGAAGGAAGCGACCACAGCGTGCGAGGCAGCCTGACAGCAGGAGGCGCCAAGCCTGGGCAGGCGCCCTGACGTGAGAAGTCCAGGGAGCGCTTGGAAGTTGCGGGGTGGTGGGCGTGAGGGAGAAACAGATCAGCTCGGACAAATCTGAGAACTGGACAACCGGGTGCTCCTGTTCAAAGCTGTAAGGGCAAGAGGTACCAGAGCTAGAATTTCCTACCCAAAGCGGGCTTCAAATGTGAGAGCAGCGTAAGACATTCTTCAGACACGCAAAGATTTCAGACACTCATTTAGAAGGAAGGAATCTGGGACGTAGCCCAGCAAAACAAAAGTAAACTAAAGAAAGACGAAAACTCAACGGCGGGCAGTGACGAGGGGCGAACTCACAGCCGCAGCTGAGCCCCGGACCGCGACGCCTCAGGCGCTGCACGCGGGCCCTGGCCGGCAGGAGGCATAAGGAGCCATGCCAAGCTGCAGCCGGGGCGGCAGGCACTGCCACCGAGCAGGGAGGCGTGGTGGCGGGCCAGGGCGAGCGCCTGGCGGCCTTCACTGTCTGTAAAGCTCAACTGCCTGGTCTGAACGTTTGAGGAAAGTAGAAACAGGATGAAAAGAAAAGTGAACAACAGAAAAAAATAAGAAAAAAAGAAAGAAAACCACTCACAACCCGAGTCTAGCCGCCGGGAGCCTGGAAAGGGGGGAAACCAAGGAAGCGCGCCCGAGAGCACGCGGCCAGGGCCCAGGGGACAGCGGCGGCTGCCGTTCTCAGCCAGGAGGACGGGAGAAGCCCCGCGCTGCGAGCCTGCGCGTCAGAAAGTCCTGCCAGGGCTGGGGCTAACAGGTGCCCCGCGGGGCTGTGCTTTCTGCTCAGCTCTTCTCTCCAGTTGTTACCGATTGTTCCTAATCATTCTGACCCGTCCGAAGTCAGGAATATAAACTTGTCCTGACCAGCTCAGAAGGCCCCGGCCTGGTGGTTCCTGCGCTGAACCGACGCGGCACCCTGCAAGCATCCAGTCAAGGTTCCTATTCCTGCCGGAAAAATCCTGCCCCCGGAGACGCCCGGTGGACACACCCCAGCTCTGCTGGGCCTCCGAGGATGATGCCCTCGCCAGCCCTGAGCCCGGCCCTCCCAGACTGGCCGCCTCCAGTCTGCCCATATAGACAGATGCCACCGTGGCGCGCGGAGCCACAACTGGGCTCAAGGACGAGCCCTACTGACTACGGGCCGTCAAAGCGAGAGCAGATGGCAAATGGCAAACATGCAGCCTCCAGAGAAACTTCCAGAAAGTGCTCTACTAAGTAGTTGCCGAGTTTTAAAAGAAATCGGAATTGGAAATAGACTAATTTGGGTCCAGACAACAGTCAGGAATTCCCTCTTGCTGGCGATTTCCTTCCCAAATGAAGAACAGCTGGCAACGGGCAGGAGTCAGGGATCTGGCTCCTAAGAAAAGGCGCCTGCGGGGAGCCTGGGGGTCTCACCTCTTTGACGTTCTGTAGGGTTTCCGGGGTGATGGTGAAGTCCACGGGACTCGGAGTCAGTTTCCCCTTCTGAGGCTGAAACAGGAGGGAGACCAGTCAGCCACCGAGAGCCTGGGTCCTCAGGCCGGGCCCCCCTCAGGGAGACGCATGTGTAGCCCGGGAGCCGGGATGGGAGCCCCAGGGGGACAGGCTCCGACACGTCTGCCAAAACCATGTCGTCAAATTTCTTCACGCCCCGTGACTCAGTTTCCTCATCTGTAAAATGAGGGGCCAGATTTTTTGATCTCTAAGTCCCCTTTCAGGTCCGGAATTTAAAAACCAGACCCAAGAAGCTGACCACAATTACTGGGAGATGTTCAAGTCCTTTTCTTAGGAGAGGAGGAAACGCCGGCGTGTCCACAGGTCGGCACCGTGGCCTCCGGGCACCGTGGCCTCCGGGCGCCGTCGCTGGCTCCACGTCACAGGTGAGGACGAGGCGCTTCCATGACTTGCTCAGGCGGGTGGAGGAGCCAGGACCCAACCCAGCCCGGTAGTCGGCTCCGACGCTGAGCCGCCCCGCTGCCCCGAAGAACCACACCTGTAAGTACCTGCCTGTGACACGAACCCCGCCCGGCCCCGCACGGCAGAGCCCCTCGCGACAGCTCCCTTCACCGCCCTGCCCAGTACGCCGGGCCCAGACCCGTGGCGGGGGCCATCGGCCAGGCTCCCTCGCGCGCACACAGTTTCATCTGAGGAAAAGTTTTCTTCTAACAGGTTCATGAACATGTTCTTTAGTGAATTTGTTATTAACAGGTTAATACTGAGAGTCAATCTGTTCCTCCTCACGTCATTTGAAGGAAATATTTAACTTGTCAACCACAGGTCACTGGTCTGCAAACTCATTCACAAAAACCTTTTTTTTTAAATTTAGTAAAATTAATTGATTTACAGGCCGTGAAGGTTTCAGAGACGCATCTTCAGCTGTGAGTCGCCCTCCCCACCGCGGGGCTGATGCCCTGTGCGCCTCCCCACCCCTCGGGAATCACGGTACTGTTCAGAGTCTGAAAGATACTTTTGTTGTGATTTGTTAGTGTTCCCGTATAGACAGGTGCCACCTGTCTATATACTTAATTCATATACACACACACACACACACACTCACATTTATATGCACATTTCCCTGAGTTCAATCATGGGTTTTCTTTTTGACAGTCTTGGTACCACATATTTTAATTTCTGTTTCAGCTCAGCTTCCATCCATGTTGCCCCAAAGGCACTATTCCTTCTGTTTCACTAGCCGAGTGGTCTCCCATTGAGCACGTGGGCCGCAGCTGCTTCCGCAGTCACCAGTGGGCGCTGGGTTGCGTCCAGGCCTGGCTATTGTGGCTAACGCTGTTATGAACACAGGGGTGCAGATACCATTTCAAATTCGAGTCTCCTCACCTAGGAGAGGCACTGCTGGGCTGTGTGCTGTCTCCATCTTTACATGGGCTCCTTGTTCAGTGTACCCCGGGCAACTCTGGGCTGAGGGGCGCGGGGCACACCTAACGCTCGTGCTGCTGGTTGTGCCAGAGAAACAAGGTTCCTCATCCCTGATCCTGGGGTCTGGTGTCCCCAGTGGCCCTGAAACCGCAACAGCTAACGTATCGGCCCGTCAGGAGGGTAGAACCCCAGGCCCCACAGAAGACCCCGCCGCGCGGAGACCGGGCACTTACAGCAGAGTGCACGATGAACTCACAAGTCTTGGTCAGGTCCTTGGCCAACAGGGACCGCCGCATGTCACAGCGCAGGGTGTACTGGGGAAGGTGGAGGAGAAACGGCATTTAGTGAGGCCAGCCTTAGGATGATGTGCAAAGAAACACGTCGTCAACCTATTTCAGGAAAACTGTCCAATGAATACGCCCACTAGAGAGAGTTTAGGGCCTTGCTATAAAAAACAGGTTCAAGTGACGCCTCAGCCTCTTCTGCAGCCCCCATGGGGGGAGTCCCTGGGACAGGGGCCAAGTCTCACCTGCACCTCGGGAGCGCCCGGCAGAGCAAGGCCCTGGCTCTGTCTCCCTGTGCCAGCCCGGCCATGGGGTACTGCGCTTCTCTGCACCTCGCTTCCTGCTGTCTCCGCCGCCCCGCATGCCCCGGTGAAGGGGCTGCTGCCGGAGCAGGGACGAGGAAGCACAGAGGCAGAAGTGGGCATCCCGCAGAGGGTGCAGCCCTGACCCTGGGCCCTCGGTGCCAGGTGCCCCGCCCCCCGAGAAGGCACGGGTACCGACAACCGTCAGCGAGCCGGCCGCGGCGACCTTAGAACCAGCTCTTCATGTTTTAACCTTAGGGCGGAAGAAAGGGAGGGTCTTCGCAAGGTTTTAGTCTGGAGAATGCAAGCACAAGCCCAAATGGTGCGACCAGAGTGACACCCACACGCCCTCACACGGCTGCCACGACGGCCCCTCATGTATACACTCACCTCCCGGCCTTGAGCTCAGCTGGCGCCATTGCTCTGCGAGGCCCCAGCCGGCCGCTGCAGGACCGGCCCCCTGGGGAGCCCCCCGCCCGCCCTCCCGACACCCCCATCACCCAGCCGGCCCAGAACTGGGCGGGCTCCTCCACAGCCCTTGAGCCGAGTGTCCGCTAACAAAACTGAACAGTGTGCTCAGCTTTTACCACCACCGTTAAAATAATCCATAACCCATGTGATACAGCAGTTTTAGCTTCCCAGGAGGAGCTTTACAATGACGTTAAAAATACTCTGTATAATCGGGTGGTCGGATGAAGAAGCTGTGTTATTACCAACAGCCGACCCCCATACAGCAAGCAGTTGCTGTTATAACTAAGGTGTTACGGGCTCTTCCCTGGTCTGCAAGAATGTTTTCACTTTCCCTCTCTTTCTGCTCTTCTCCCCAGCCAGACAAGGTCAGCGAGGGCCGCGGTTACACACGCGATGTTCATGCGGTGCAGACGTGTGCACGAGCGCACGCACGATGCCGCCGCCTCTGTCCTCTCCCGGTACACGGTGAGAACTGCCCTTCCTCATTGTCAGTCTGGGGGGTTGGGCAGGGCCGACCTCCCCCATCCGTATCTGGGTGCAGGCGTGACCAGTAAGACAGGCCTAAGAAAGCGCCCTGCTCGCGCCCGCCCGGTGGACAGCAGGCCTGCCGAGGTGAGAGCCGGCAGGCTGGCAGGAGCTTCGCCTGGCAAGGATGTGCCTGCGGGGGGGAAGCCTGCCCAGAGTGCAGCAGCAGAGCTGCAGACACGCCTGGCACCCATCCTGCCTCAGACCTGCCCTGGAATTGCCACTTCTGTGGTCCAAGACCCCATTTTTGGCTGAGTTACTTGGAGTTGGATTTCTGTAACTTGCAGGTGAAAGGTGGTGAATTCCAGGCACCGCTTTTGGTCACCAGCTGATAAGAGCGAACGCAATAGTCAGTAATACGAGTCGGCTGGTGACAAGTGGGGGGGGGGAGTTGGAGGAAAACTCGTGCTACAGTGTCTGGGCGCCGTGTTATTCCCACGCCCTTCCTCGCACTCATTATAACGTCAGGATGGCCACCAGTCACTCATCCGTTCACTCAGCAAACACCAGCACATCCTGGGTGCCGGCACCATAATCACGACCTCATTACCGCAGCAAGGGAAGTCACGATGGCGCTGGGGTCGGAGAGGTGGGGTCTGAACTCACACCTGCCAGCTGCCCACGCGCAGGCTCGAACATTTAGGCGGCCCGCGCCTCTAGCCCAGAGCTGCCGGCTGCAGAGCCCGGCCTCGTCCCACTGTGGGGATCTCCCCACGCGCTCGGGAGGGGTCCGCAAGGTGTGGGCTGCTGGGGGGCAGGCGGGTCAAGGCTCAGACTTGAGCAGGAGGCCAAAGGAGGTGCAAGATCCGACCTTTCTGTGTGTCAGTGACCACAACACACAGGAAGGAAGATGCTGGCCACCGGCTCCAAAGCACACTCCCAGGGAGAGCATTCTGAACCGGGACTCTCAGAGTCATTCCGAACAATTTCAGCAGCGCGTTGTGCTGCTACATTCTGTGGTGTGGTAAAAAAATTTGCTAGAATAGGCCCAGGATTAGAACAAACATAATGAAATTTGCCTAGGATTAAAGTAAGTTTTAAAAGAAAAAATAGTTGTCCAAAGGACAATTTCAAAAGACTAACAGACTATTAAGCGCCATGATACAACGATCTTGAATTTGTCTAATAAAAGGTTGAAAAATGAACATCATGGGACCGGGAAGAAAAAGCAAGTCATGCGGCCCTCCGAAGTGACGAGTCCCCAGCACGGGCCAGGTCGGGGGTTTGGCGCTGGCGACCTTCACGCCTTCCGTCTGTGCCAGCATTTTTTTTTTTTTTTTTTTTTAAAGATTTATTTATTTATTTGTTTATACAAACACTGGATACAGTCAGAAGCGCGGGAGGGTGAGAGAATTCACCAGAGCCAGAGCGGGGAGCAGAGCAGGCAGAAAGACCGAAGTACACTGCTGAGGGGAGCAGCGGGCGGCAGGAGAGGTCTGCACGCCATGTGGGACCCTCCTCCGGTGGCCGGGGAGCAGCCGGGGATCGAACCGGCGCTGCAGAGGCTGCGGGCAGCTTCGCAACCCAGCGCTCAACCGCTGCGCCACCGGGGAGGCCCTGTGCCAGCATTTTTACTTTTGGATTCTGTGGCTTTAGTACAATTCAAATTGTAACTAAAATTCCTTGTGCCTATATGATTTGAGAAAGATGCTGTCGTAGTTCAACAACATTTTCTATCCAAAACCAAGCGGCACGGCCCTCAGGGGGCTGGCCTGGCCACCCGCTCGCCGCCCTCGCTGAGCGCGCGCCCTGCGGTGCAACAGGCAGCTGGCACGGACCCGCCCAGAAACTGAGTGAAGCAAAGAACGAAAAACACATCCAAGGCTAGTTCCTCCCAAGAAGCGTTCTTCCAAAATTTAAATAGGAATTGGGATTTACACGACATTTGAATTCTGTCCATTTTGATAGGTGTGCAGACATTAACTGTGACCGTCTAAGAGAATGTCCCTATTTTTTGGAGATATTGACATATTTCAAGTGCCAAGATTCTGTAACTTTGAAATGATTCAGAAAAAAACATAGACGGCAGAAAGATGACAAAAGTCAAAGTATCGAGTCGGCGGGGCAGGAGGGGTTAAGGACCAGGGCGACGGTGAAGAGAAGCTCTTCATTTTTAGAACGCTGTGTGCTATTTGGGAGGTGCAGAATTTCAAATTGTAGCGTAGGAGCTTAACCCTCGAGTGGTCAAATCTAATGACCGAAACAAAGGGGGGCCCGAGGGGGGGATCACCAGTGTGTGATGTGCACGGCCTGCGTTACACGCCTGCGTTAAAGACCCACGTGTGGGGGAAGCAAGCGGCGCTGACTCTGGAGAGGGGAGTAAATGCCATGTTCAGTCTTGCTGGAGGGCGTTCTCGTTCACTTTCTTTCATGGTCAAAGAACTTCCAGCTTAGAAAGCGGGCCCAAGGGTTCGTGTCTGCACATCAGCACCTGCACGTCTAACTGTCCGTCCCGCAGCCTCCCCCCATCATCGCTGTGACTCCCCGGGGGTGTCCGCAGCCTTCATTCGTCCTTGGGGACGGCACTCCCTGAGAGCTGCGCCAGTAACACCGGACGAGAGTTTTTTCTTTAGAGAAAAGACGTTTACTGCAGCAGGTGACGCCACACGACGCGCGTCTTCTCCTGACAGATCTTTCTGGGAATTCATGAAAGTCACATATAGACAAATTCTCCTTTTTGAGGATTTTTATTATCAAAGTGCCATACTTGAAGTAGGGGAGTGACCTCCATCAAGACCAAATTATCAGCTAAAACTTTAAAAGTGGTAAATAAAACCCAGCCTGGTGCGGCCCTCTGCAGACGCCAGGAAGCCGCGCTGTCCCAGCGAGGGCGCCCGGCACCGCACAAGCTCCTTTCTCTCCCCTGGGTGAGGGCAGCCACCCCCTCCCCGCCCCCCTCTCTGAGTCAGGGCTGAGCAACAATAGCAACAGTGAGGGCCCCTGAACCAGGAGGTGGACAGGAAGCCATAAATCCACTTCCCCTCATTTACAAGGCTAGTTCAGTAAAGAATACAAGCCTGTGTGAACAAAGTAGCCTCTGGGGGTTAAACAAAGAGATATTTATGCGCATGAAATAGACAAGTTGGGGCGGGCTCCAGAAAGAAGTGAGGGCAGATCAGATCTCTGCCCCAACAGCAGCAGCCCTCCAGCGGCCCAGGAAGGTGCCCCAGGGCAGCAAGGGCGCTGGCGGATGGTGCGGGTTGCAGGGCTCCGCGCAACTGGACAGAGGCCAAGGCCGAGCCAGAGCCACCAACTGCTCTGTGTCCCCAAAGGAGACCAAGTCGCTGGGCAGAGCTGTTCTGGGGTGGACCCGCGGGACACCCACCTGGATGTTGACGAACACGCCGTGGTACGTCTCGTACAGGACCTTGTTTCCCTTCACGTGCAGAGGAAACTCAAAAGGGATTTCTGTTTTGCCACTGGGAAACTTTCCTGGCTTCACCATTTCGATGGTGCTGTTGATAATCTGGATTGGCTGTAGACAGAAATCGGCTCAGTCATCAGCAGGCGCCTTCACACGAGTCCTAACAATCCTGCAGACCCCTCCGCCGGGCACCCCGGGCTGCGCCGGGTGCCTGTGTCCAGACGACAGGCGGGGGCTCCATTTTCAAGTCTCTGGCAACAGTTTGTGTATCCAACACTGGGGTGTTGGATCACGGTAGGAAGGGAACTCATATTCCTGTTCTTCCCCCCAAATATCTTACCCAGTCTCATCTCGGAACAAAGCAGCAGACCCAGCAAAGCCCTTCTCACCCCTCCTCACCCTGGGGTGCACCAGCCCCTCCGGGGTAGGGAAGAGCAGACTGAGGAGCAGGCTCAGGCACCCCCATGGGGAAGGTGGCACAGCAGGTGCTCAAGAAACTTATGCTTCATTCAGTGTTGTTCTGTTACGATGCTGGTGAGATAAGACCGTTCCCAGCAGCCCCTGTCCGGTGGTGTTGAGTCCCCACGTCTGTGTGGGTTTCCTCCCAAACCATAGGGGGCACATGAGGGTACTGGCGGGTCTCAGGTGGCCGGGGGGAGTGGGTGTGGGTGTGGTGAAGGGCGTCCTGTCCAGGATGGGGCCCCCTTGTGTCCGGAGCTGCCGTGCCCGGCTCTGGCCACAGTGACCCTGAACTTGGCTAGGTGGGTTGGAGGATGAGGGAATGAAGACAAATGCCTGTTGCTATTAGACGTGCCCGGCCTTTGTTTAGAAGTTTGGTGACGTCTGTGTGGCCGGGACTAGGAGGCAGGCGCCGAGCCCTCGCTGTAACGATAAGCCACTGGTCCACTGGCTTCACTATCAGCGTTTTGCTCACAGTCGCAGCCTCCAGGAACCTACGAGTCACCTTAAGCAGGGACTGACCTCCCTAACATCCGGCGCCGGCCAGGGGGCAAGGAGATGGCAGCTGGACGCCGGAGCTGCCTGAAGCCGCGCCTCAGCATCTCTGAGAAGCTGCGCAACCTCTAAAGTGGGTCTGAAGTGCTGATGGACCACTTGGAGCTTGGAGCTCCCCTCCCTCTCGCTCCTCTCCCCTCCCCTCTATGGGGGTGGAAAGGCGCAGACTTGCAGCAGCGGGGGATCTGCAGAGTCAGGCCAGCTGAGTATCTTTCAGTTTGATTGGCAAGTATGAAACCCCACTAACCCCTACAAACTCAGGACAGACAACAAAGTCGGACGGCAAGTAACCCCGACATCCGCGTCAAGACTGGCCAGGCCGCTCACCTTAACTGAGTTGTAGAAGGCCTCGAAGACGCCCACGCTTTTGGCGCTGAGCTGCAAGCTCACGGTCCCTTCCACAGTCAGGGAGACACCCTGGTGCTGGACCGAGTCCTTCCCGGAGATGAGCACCACGCCCGAGAGCACCTCCTGGGAGCAGAGAGCACCGTCAGCCAGCCCGTCCGCCCTCACCCTCCCGTTCCTAGACATTGGCTCCCCAGCCAGCAGGTGCTGCCCTGGACCCGGTGGGAGGCAGGGTGATTTCAGGGCTGGCCACGCCAGGGGGCCAGGGAGGCGGGCAAGGAATCACCCCGTTTTCACTCCATGCCAGGAGATCCCCCATGAGGTCTGACTAAGGGCAGAGGGCAAAGTCCCCGCCGCTCACACACAGGCAAGGGTGAGAGCCTCTTCCCAAGGAACACAAGACAGTAAAACGTTCCTTTAGCTTCTTCTCCATTGTAGGGACTAAGGCCACTCCAGTTGTATTCCAAGACCCCTGGGGGCCCCACACTGTGGCCAGCGGAGACACCCCTTTCCGGCTTTCCTCAGCCCCCACGCCTGTGATAGGGTCTCACGCATGAACCGGGCACCGCAGAGAAGCAGCAGCAGCTAACAATAAACGAGAACAATGAGATGCGGCGCTGTCAACAGCGGCCTGGCCGCGGCTCCCCCCAAATCTTCCTGTGCAGGTGCTTTCCAGGCCGCTGCTCGCTCCCAAGGCCCAAGTGACTCAGCACCGCCATCTCCAGTGTCCTCTCTGCCCGCGGGGCCTGGCCGAGGAGAGGTCCAAGGTCCTCAGGGTGACACGGGTGACCCGCCTTGCCGAGGGCTCTAGCAGGTGACTGCTGTCTCCCCGAGGACGACCACCGAGCGCCAGGGCGCGGACCCCAGCCCCGTCCTTCTCGCAGGGCAGTTTCGAGCCCACGCCAGGGAGCCGGGTTGCTCAAGGCGGGGTTTGCGGGTTTGCGGGCTGAAAGGGAAGCCCCGGGTCCCTGAAACCCTCCAGCCCAGCATGACGCTGGCGAGTGGCAGCTGATGGCAGCTGTTTCTGGACAACAAAACCAGCAAGACTGGAAATGCCCCGGACTCGGCTGTCAGGCTGCGGGCCCGCTAGGCGCTGATTCCCCGGGTCACCTCGTGGAGAGGTGCCCAACTCTCACGGCAGGGAGAATTTAGGGGCCCGGGATAGTCCACATAAATGTGCTCCCTATTTTGTTTGGCCCCATGCCCACCCCGTGCCCTGAAGTCTAAAGTCAAATGAGCGCCATCCTCGCCAAGAAGCAGGCTCGAGCAGCTCGGCTCGCTCCTAAGCACACAAAGCTCATAAGCAAATTTAAATGAAAATTCCTCTGAAATAATTTTACCTTTAAATTTTAAACAAATTCTATTTTGCAGGACCCAAATCACACAGAAATCTAATTTTCAAAAATTTAAATTCATCAGCATGTGAGAAAGTAATCGACTAAGTGTGTCCCAGAAGTAATCGGGACCAAGCTGCCTCCTGGACCTCCTCAGCCCCCCAGGGTCCTGCTCCTGGTTATCCGCCGCCTGCCTGGTCAGCCTCAGGCCAGGGCCCGGGCCTCGGGCTGGCACAGCAGCCCCTGCACCCACAGGTCCTTCGCCTCCTGTAATCCTGTGGCCTGAGAAGGGAAAAGCAGCAAAGTACCTCGGAAGCAAGCAGAGTAAATATTTTATGACCCAAGGGACTCCTTTCTTATTCCTTGAGTTTAATTAAGAAGGGAAGTAATAGAACATAAAAGAAGTAAAAGACTTGGAGATAAATTAGGCATCCTAACAGCAAACAGGTGCCGCAGCTCCACCACCACCAAGAGGATGCGGAATCAGCCCCAGCGCAGCTCAACGAGCCGGCACCTGTGGGATCAGAAAGTGGTTCCGAGCCGCGAACGGGACGTGACGGTGCGTGTGTGCAGTGTGGGGGGCGGGCGTGACGGTGAGTGTGTATAGTGTGGGGGGCGGGCGTGACGGTGCGTGTGTGCAGTGTGGGGGGCGGGCGTGACGGTGAGTGTGTATAGTGTGGGGGGCGGGCGTGACGGTGCGTGTGTGCAGTGTGGGGGGTGGGCATGACGGTGGGCATGTAGTGTGGGGGGCAGGTGTGAACGAGAGTAAAAGACACAGGCTTCAGTGAGGGCAGCTGGAGGCAGGGCGGGCCCCACGGCTTCCCTGAGCATCTTCTAGCCGAGAGCACCAAGGATCAGGGTGGGAAGAGCCAACCGGGTCCAGGTTCCCACGAAGACTTGAAGGCTGCGCACTAGCTTGCTCCTGTCACCCTCGCCAGGCGTCACGCTCCCCAGGCGGAACCCCCAGGAGGTGGCCTGCGGCCCAAGCAGACCTGCTGAAGTCTGCCGGGGAGGAAGGTGCTACCAGCTCGCAGGCCTGGAGCCCCTGAGGTAGGCCGCTGCCTTTCTAAATTTAAATCCCCCGGGAAATGAAAGCACATGTGTAAGGCCTGTTGCAGGTGCTGCACTGTGGGTGAGTGTGAAACACACGACGCCTCGGGCTGAGGAGTCAGGGAGCGCTTCGAATGGCACAGTCCGCCTGCATCTGCCCACGGGACAGCTCTCTGAATGTGCTCAGTTTTGAAAAAACCTGACCTACACAATCCTATCTAAGATTCCGTTTGGTGAAAGTTTTATTGCTTCAAAATGTTCTGGAAAATCTTTACCCTAAACAACCCTGTTGTGTCCTCTGGAGCTGGCAGTGGGGAAACGCCCCCTCTGGAAGCTGGGCATGAGGTCTGCTGAGCGCCCCTCACCGGGGACGGCAGCACTTCTCTGAGCCCCACTTCCTCCCCCTGCGGGGAGCAACACGGGCCACGGAAAGCCGGCCGAGTTCGAGGGGCAATTGTTGATACTGACGGCAAGTCTTCAATTTGCAGAGTATTTTACAAAATCCCATCTTTACGTGCCTGTGTCTGTATGAAAAGCATCCGAAAGCCCCCAGGCGCCCACCGTCAGGGAGCTCGGGGCGCAGCGCACCACAGAGCCCGTGGCCAGAGGCTGCGTGAGCCCGGGGCAAGGCCCAACCCCAGCGGCCTCTTACCAGGGAGCTTGGAAACGGGCTCTGGTGCCAGCAGCACTGCCGCTGGCTTGTTAAGACGCCCTTCCGCATCCGCATCCGCATCCACCGCCAGAGCGCTCCCTGAGGCAGAGCCGGCGGCAGCCTGGCCAGTGGCGCCCCCGGGAGCCTGCTCTGCCCCCGGCAGGGATGGGCAGGTGCCGCAGATTGGTCTGGTAGGAGCATCACACACACCACGTGACTGAACAAACCGAGCACAATGAAGCGACAGGTGGAGTCGGGGGCTAGAAACTCCCCAGGTATGGCTGACGTTCAGATGGGACCCAGAAGGGAAGCTGGCCTGGCTCATGGGCTTTCGGAACCTGCCTGCGCCCAGGACGAGGACCGTGACAGCAGGGGTGGAGGCGGACTGACACAGGGACCAGGGTGAATGGCGGGGGTGAGGGGTCAACGGGGCAGCCAGGAGTCAGATGGCTCAGCCCCAAGAAAAGCAGGGGTGAGGGCCTCCCTGGTGGTGCAGGCAGTTGAGCGCAGTCTCTGCAGCGCGGGTTTGATCCCGGCCAGCTGGGAAGATACCCACATGGCGCGGCAGACCTCTCCTGTCCCACCTGCTGCTCCCCTCAGCAGTGTATTTCGTCAGTCTGTTCTGCTCCCCACTCTGTCTCTGGTGAATCCTCTCACCCTCCTGCACATCTGGCCTGTACCCCGGTTTTTGTATAAATAAAAATAAATCTTTAAAAAGAAAAGCAGGGGTGAGCAGGCCCGTGTTGCAGAAGTGGAGGACACTGGGGAGGCGGGCGGGGTGACAGCAGGGTGACAGCTGGGAGAGTCTGCAGGAGAGACCAGAGAACTCTGCCAACTGGGGTAGCGGTGAGGAGAGTCAGACGCACAAGAACATAAGAGAGACGCCATCTCCCCAAAACCTGCCCTTGAGCAGCACTGCTGGAGTTCAGCACTGGGGGCCAATCACCACAGCCACTAGGCAGAGAGAAGGCATCTGCAGGTTTCAGCTCAGAGGGTGGCTGGCTGTGCTAGGCTGCACCTAGCAGAGGACCCAAGGTCAGGAGGTTTGCACTGGGGACCTAAGGTCAGGATGTCTGGACTGAGACCCAAGGTCAGGAGGTGTGGACTGAGAATCAGGGTCAAGAAGTCTGGACTGAGATCAGGGTCAGGACATCTGGATTGGGACCCAAGGTCAAGGTCAGGAGGTCTACACTGAGACCCATGGTCAGGAGGTCTAGACTGAGACCCAAGGACAGGAGATCTGTAGTGGAGACCCAAGGTCAGGAGGTCGGGACTGAGAATCAGGGTTGAGAGATCTGGACTGAGGTCAGAGTCAGGAAGTCTGGACTGAGACCCAAGGTCAGGAGGTCTGGAATGGGCTGGGCTGGGCTCTCAGCCCCATCAGGAGGAAGGCAGAAAGCAACCCAACCACCCTGTCAGAGGCAGAGCAGCCGGCAGGAGGTCAAGGGCATCTGTGACATGCTGAGATTTCTCCAGCTGCTGCGGGGCCTAGACATGGACACACTCACGGTGGTCAGACAGGCTTTCCTAACACTCCGATCAGTAAAAAACATCTGCAACACACACTGATGGAGAACTACAAGACTAACTGCGGCACCCTGTTCTCAAGCAGGTCTGCATAATTCTGAAAACGCCTCACGCCTCCTGTGAGGGTTAGGTTCTGACTTAGGCACCAGGTCTTTTCAGATGAGATTGCTCATGAGAAAAGAGGCCCACGTGCAGCTTAAGTGACTAAGGGCCACACCACCCACAAAATGATCGTGAGCTCCCTCCTAGCTCAAAGATCTATAACTTTGTACCCTAAATACCTGTAACAGCATCACTGTAACTGACCATTCGGTCATTAAAAATCCAACAAAACAACAGAGTGGGGAAAAAATTTTTTTTCTTACATCGTTCATGTCTGTACAGTATTTGCTTTCTTCCCTGATGTAGTCCCCTAGGCCAGCCACCACCGAAGCACCTTAGTCCCCTGTGCTCTTCCCCCGCCGTTTTGATCCCTCCCTCCCCGTGCCCTGCTGAACGCCTCAGGTCGATGGTCAGCTTGCAAGTTTTGTTTTTTCTTGATCTTTTCTTTGGTTTCTCTAGAT